ATAGTGATTACAGGAGCATACACCCTCTTTTCAAAGTATACCTGCTACCAGTTTACAGCAAATACTGTACATTAGAATCCAATTATCTTTCCACAGAACAGTTCAACAATCAACAAAAAACGCATTTAGAGTATTTTTTGAAAAAATAGAATACACTGTTGATTAACTAATTTTACCTTTAAAAAAGTATTAATGTACATTAATTTTCTTTATTATAATATGGAATACAATAAATTTGAAGAAGATCTCAACTATTTTGTGTATGTCTGAAACCTTTCACATTTTATTCAAACTCTAATATAGGAAATGTCCTAAATTAAATTAAATTACACATCAATGCCATCAGTACTTAGGCTAAAATGATGATCAATGTTTTGATTTTTAATTGTTTATCAAAACTGAAAAATAGAGACGAAATTTTCCAAGTCAATTTTTAAAATTTCCATTTGAAAAATTACAATCACAGTGTTTTAACAAAAACATTTGTTAAAATAAAGTTAAATATGTGTTGAATCTCTCAAAAATAAAGTTAAAAACTCTAAAATATAATGCATGTGTATATATGTGGTTAAGAATATACTTTAACATAATTAGTCAAAATATTTACCACAACAGGATAATATAGTGAGTGTAAAAAAACAGTATTGTATTAATGGAACATGAAGCTTCAGATCATAAAATAGTTTTTTCAATTACATTTAAGTTATTTAAATAGAACAAAAATCTCAATTGTGAATTTCAAGAAATATTTGAAGGAAATGGTTCATGTTTGATCAAATTTGTGGAAACAGTATCATAAATGAACACAAAACATAATTACAAAAAGTAAACAATTTATAACTAATTTTATTCAGTTCAGTAATTGATATCCTTTCATCTGAAAAAACTCATTGTTATACAAATTATTTGTTTTCAGTCGTCTTCTTTTCCACATATAATTTAAATTTCACAGCCTTATATTATGAAAGCTGAAAATTGTAACCCTCTTGATTGAATAGAGTTGTTTAAACATTTGTTTAACAACATGTACACTCTTGCACCATTGGTTTGACCCTTTAGTGAACCTAAATGAATAATTTGAGTGTTACAGACAGTAAATAACTTAAAAAAACAAATAAGTGGTCTTTGTACAAAGACATACGTTATAAAATTGTGGCACAAAGAATTCAATATTAACTAGATAAGTACCTTTGAAAAATCAAGTTAAACAAAATTTTGTAAACCTTGTTTTGGATGACCATTTGTATATTCTTGTAAGTTTTAAAAGAAATCTGTACTACCACTCCAGTAAGCTCCCCTAAAACTCTGGGAGTGGAAATGGAAAGAAAATCACAAAATATAAACATAGCATCTGGTTTTAAATAATCATTTACATGTCCATACCAATTTTCATTCAAACCCATTCAACCAATACTAAGAGTCAAAACCTCCTCAACGTAAAATCTGGAAGCCCTAATAAGAAAATTTCAAAAATCTATATATAGATATTTATTTTAAATGATCCCTTACATTTCTATGTCCATTTTCATGCATGTAATTTGAATCCAGTGCCATAAAAGCCACCAAATCCTGTTTGACCCCTCTAAGGTAACTCCATATAGAATATTTAAAAAGACTGAGTTTATATAGTTTTGAATGACCATTTGCACATTAATAGCAACTTTCATGTAAATTGGTACAATCAAGTCTGAAAGCCCTAAAACTTCCATAATTACCTATTTTTGGAACTCCCCTTAAGACTTTTTGAAAACATATTTATCCATTAATTTTTGATAAAGTTAAAAAGTTTACATACAAAAATCAGGAATACGGAGATATATATACGTAGATACAACTAAGAATTACTTCATACATTTTAGGCTTAAAAGACATGTTACATGAAGAGCTATGTTTGGAGACTTAAGTTTTTAACCTAGTGCTAACCTAAACTGAGTTATCCTTAAACCTAATGCACAAAATGATTGGACACTACCTAAGCAGTTTTCTTGATACAAGTAAATTATACCTCAAGCCCCACTGAAAGTATAAGGTGATCAAGCTTTTGGACTAAAATAATTATAAAAATTTACACTTTTAGAACAAATTAAATGCTTAGTTCTGTATGTAAAACCAATATTATTTCCAAATACAGTAAAAGCTTTATTAACTGACATCTGCCAGACATAAGCAGTGCCAGGTAGGTAAAAATTCCAGTTATGATAGTATTTCTCCTATGATATTTTATAGGAAAAATGTTGATACCTTGTTAATGTTATAAAGTAAAGTATTTCCACATCATCTATAACAAGAACAGTTTTAATAAATGTTCTAAAAAACCTTAAACTTTATAAAATATTTAGAAGTACAGTATTTTAAATGTGAATCACAGTACCAGTAGTTAAAACTGAAGCATGCCAGAGGGAAAAATGTAAAAAAAGCCACAGCAGCAATACTAAATTACAATGAGCATTGGTATTTAGGGATATTGCAATTTCTGGTTACAAGAGCTTTTCAGACACAAAGATGCCAGATAACAAAGCTTTGTTATCTAACATTCAGAAGATCTACAAGACTTTCCTTCAATGATAGGAAGTGTCCCAAAGTTTTGCATCTAAAAAGTAACAAATATGAAGATTATGCTAATTAATATGCCCATCACAAGATAAGAAATTATTTGAAGTAAGTTTCAATAAGAAAATGTAAACTGTACACATTTTACTATACCTCTTGATGGACAAAGTGTTAAAATACACAAAACAGAAAGAGTGGGTCTTGAAGCAATAATGAACAACATCTATTTCCAGTAAAGAAAACAAGCTAAAAACTGACCACACAGTAATGTGGTGCAAATAAAAATTAGTTAAAGTGGGAAGAAAAATCTGCATAAGGGGGAACAATGCCTTTCAAACAACGTTAAGTTGCAAAAGCAAGAAACATAGTCTAATGTTGTATTTGACTGAAAGTGGTCAAGAATTCATTCCTCAGATTATCACAAAGATTAAATGCTATTAGGAACCATTTTCATCAGTCTGAAAGAATAACATAAGACAGTTCACTTGGGCTACCTGTTACAAGGTATAAACACCTGCACCAATGCACTCACAGAAATTAATGTGCAATCCAAGTATGAACAAAGGTTAAAGTGTGCTATCTATACTCACCACAGGTATCAAAACCTGGTTTTTAGTGGAATAAGACCTCAAACTTTCCACTTAGTCACAGGGAAGGAAGAAAGAATTGAATAATAATAATAAGTTATCCATACAATATATTCTATAAGAGATAACATCTCATACAGTCAGAAGAAGAAAAGAAAATCTAATGGATTACTCCAAAATTATATAGGTTTCAACCCCTTAAAATCTGAGCAACATCCTAATGAAGAGATGTTTGGATGAATAATAATAATAATTTAAGGGTAGCCCTGAAGCCCAAGACAAGTAAATGAATCTGCACATTCATGGCAGGAGGAAACAGGATTGCTATAAAGTTACATCTATGTCAACCAAAAAATCTAAACATAACCACCCTAAAGGTTAAAAAGACATACATTAAACAAAAATTATCAGAGGAAAAGGTAAAGAATCAGTGATGAAAAAAAAAAAGACACTAACATAAGATCTAACAAATAATCTCACAAGATGAGGCAAAGAAAGTGGACAGTCTACTAGTGTCATAAAAATTTCAGAAGAAAAAATTATGAGCTCACAAATATTCAGTGAAGGCAAAAAACAAAAAGATAAATGAGTATGAGATGAACATGAAAAAACTTCTGGATGAATAAGCGAAGAACAAAAAAACAGCTTACGTGGTGTACATTTGTAGCCAGATAGAACAGTAGTCAGCAGATGATGTATGCAATATCTAATTCACCAGAGCTTAAATGTTGAACATGACACTGAGATGCAGTCACATGGAGGTATACATCACAAAACATATCAAACAGTTATCTGTCAGTGAAACTTTCAAATGAAAATCACAGTCAACAGTTACACAAAAAAGTAAAATATGCACTAGTAGACACATCTAAATAAATAACTAATTACTAAGTAACGTAAAGATTATTAGAAAAAATTACTTCTTGGAAAAAACAATGCAGGCCAAATTTAGTGAGAAAACACTGTGATATTTAGCATACTTATACAAGAAAAAACTTTTCAGAAATGCTGTCAGAGCAAGAATAGCATCTTATGCTAGAAGAGGTGGATAAAGGTCATGATCATATGCACATACGTAAACATCCTGGAATCTTGCAGAATGTCAAACAAGGAGAATACACTAGAAAACAGAAGCAAAGGAAGTGATGGAGGAGAGGCTAAAGTTTACAGTACAAGTGTTACTTCTTCGTACATCCAAAGGTATAGTTTAAAAAAATTACCTTTACTCTCCAGATAATAATAAAAAAAACTTTATATTTCAGGCAATGTTTCACCACTGGAGCTTCATCAAGGCTAGAATTACAAGAACTGTTTGATGACAGATGTACAGTTACATACACTGAATTAGGAAGAATTACCACACTGACCATGCTTTAGCAAAGATCACTGAATCTACCTCATAACTTAACCAGCTCTTGCTTGTAGCAGATACACAAAGAAGGTGATTAATTTGCATTTCTTTTATTGTCAACATTTTCTATTAACTCTTCTCAATGGAAGTTTTTATATATATGCAGCTTTGATACTGAGAATCAAAACAAATGGTATATTAACAATGTTATGAACAAAACATTAAACACATATAGTACATAAAGTTTACAGTGTGCTTTGACTAAATTATTTCAAATGAAATTTATTTAAAATTGGCAAGTCATATATATGTATAATTTTTTTTTCTTGGAATGCTTATTTTGATGTTACCTATTAACATGCTACATCTACCCCTTAAAAATACTTAACAGACCCTCATACATTCATGAGGGTTTGTATTTTACACCATGAAAACAGATTCTTAAGAACTCATATTCATCACCTTTTTTTAAATGCGATGCCAAGGTTAGAATAAAAAAAGTACACTCTTACCTAAAAGCTTAATTAAATGTTTCTTCTTCTTAAAAGTTATCCCAAGCATGAACAGCTCTTAAATGAATCTTTAATTTATCTGATCGTCTAAACTCGGCAGGACAAAGACGACAAGGAAAAACTGCTTTGTTGTTATGCTGGTCAAGAAAATGTCTTCTCATGTTATAATTTGTGGAAAACGTTCGCTGACACACAGGGCATTCATTTGAAGATCCTAGTTAGAAATGTTATGTTTGAGTTCGGGTATTTTAAATAATACGCTATCAGTTAAGATCCTGACACCAGAAAAAATATCGGCTCTTCTTTGTTTTATTTATGTAACTAAATGAAAATCTAATTCACCTATACCAATAATTTATGATTTGTAAAGAGCAAATCTAAAAACTTAAGTTATAATAACAATCAAAAATAAATAACTTAGAGAAAACATTATCTGTCATTTACATAAATAACTGATTACAATAATTAAATTTTTATATTTTAGAATAAAAGAAATACCAAACTTTCATGAAAGGCAATCATGTTACATACATTTTTATTTTCCTTGAGAAGCTGTACAAAGTAAAAAAAAACTCAACAAAACCACATAAATTTCAATTTCAAATATGGATTATTTTAGTCAGTTATACTTTTCCATCTCTACTATACCTGCACCAAGTTAAAGAACTTCATTTCATAAACCTATTATACAATTCCTATTGTACTTTTGCATATAAAAACAAAACTCTTTGTCAAAATTAACAGATGCTATCTATAAAATCAAGTACATTTTATATCTAAGCTGATGTAGCTTCCACTGAAGAGACAGCCATTGTAACAATTCAAAGAAACAGCTCAGTTATCTATATCTGACCTAATTCCTAATCTTTTTCACGCAAATTTCAAAAAAACAAAATATTCCCTAACACTTTTGTTTTACTTATTAGAAAACAACAAGACAAACCATGATTACTAATAATTGGTGAACAAATAAAAGTGAAATGGGCAGCAACTGAAGATAAAAGATGGAAGACTTTTAAAACTTTGAACTTTCATCGGTGATACTTTTGTAGATTAGTTCTCCAAGATTTTCTCCACGCCACATTGAACTAGGCAGTTGCTGTCCATTTCATCTTTTTTCATACATTATGAGAATACTAATAATTGTTTTTACAGATTTCCCTAAGTACACATATTCTAGTGTTATTTTCAAAGAATTAGTTTAGTAATCTTATAAATTAAAATTTAGCAATAAGGTTTGTAGAACTTAAAAAAGAAAGAAACTAACAGTAAAAATGCGTGACTCATTTTTAAGGTGTTATACGAAAGTTAATCTAGCAATACAACTTTTCCTGACATCAAAAATAAAGGTGTTAATACAAAAACCTGTGAGATTTGTCACTCAAAACCAAACAATATTTTTTATCCATATATTAAGAAGATAAAACTGCTTACTATGACAAGAGTTACATATTATTTAATAAATAAAATTAAATATCTGGTAATTGTTCTATGGTACTGTTTCTAAGCACATATGTACCAATTTGAGTTAATCTAACATTACAACCTTTCCTGACATCAAAAATAAAGGTGATAAAAATGAAAACTTGTGAGATTTGTCACTCAAAACCAAGCAATATGTTTTATCCATATATTAACCCATTAACTGAGGATAACATATATTTCCTTCAGTCGCACATATACAACTATAACTCTGTGCGAATGATGATAATTACCATTTTATTGTGATTGATGGCAACTCAGTTTTATCTCTGAGTCAGAAAACGGCAAATGAGCTGCTCCTGCAGCAGTTAATGGGTTAAGAAGATAAAACTGCTTACTATGACAAGAGTTACATATTATTCAATAAATAAAATTAAATATCTGGTAATTGTTCTATGGTACTGTTTCTAAGCACATATGTACAAATTTTGTTTTACAAGGATGACTGTATAAGATTAAAAAAAAAACAAAAAAGAAACAGAAGTGCCATATCACAGTACTAAGTGCTTATTGCTATAATAATCAAAAACAAGGAACTTAGAGTTACATTTTAAAAGATTAACCCAGCAATTTCAGTCTGAAGATGTTGGCTTTATGAATTCACACAAAACTGTAAAGATGTTAATTTAATTTCTTACAGATATTTATAATCATATTTTTTTTTTTATTGAGAGATTTTTTTTATGGACATTTCAGATAAATTAATTTTATTCAAAAGATTTACAACACTAAGCTTTCAATTTACTCTTACTTTCTACTGCCAAATAGTCTAACCTCTTCAAAGAAATATACTCAACTAAAGATACATTTATATAAAAAAAGTTGTAGTTATGAGTGAAATGAGTATACCTCACAGTTTCATAAAATGTGTCTATTTTGTTCCTGTTTTGAAAACCACATTCTGTTTAACTTAATACAAAAGGTTTGAATACTTAACTAAAATCAACAACTCAATCAATTTTTTTAAACTTTTGGTTAAAATTAATCTTTTCTTTTCCTTGAAGCAGAAATAATTAGGTGTAAAAGCACACCTTAAAACATTCATAATAACAATGTGTAAAAAAAAATATAAGCATGTCTAGAAAAAAACAAGTCTACAATACTATGAGGACTTTGATATTGTATGAGAGTAACGATAATGTCTTTGTAAAGAAGGTTTGCGTGTGAACACTTTTCCACATTGTAAACATGGAAACATCCTAGAGCTTCGATGTTGAAAATAACGATGAGAGTGCATTGATGCACGAGAACAGAAAATCTTGTGGCAGATGTCGCAGGAAATTCCTTCTCCTGACACAGTGTCCAATACACCAAGACTTAAGTGCCTATATGACCAGCCTAAAAAGAAGAAACATTTAGGAAGGTTTCTTGAAAACAAGTCTGAGGGCAACTGCTTTTTTCACTATTAACTACAAGAAAAAGTATTGTAGTGAGAAGGCCTCATTAACATCATAATAATGATCTAGCAATACAACTAAAAAATGTAATTTAAAGTTTCTTTAAAAGAAAAAAAAGGTTATTTGAACAGTGCATTCATAATGGAAGAAATAAAAAGTAAACCCAGTTACAACAAACATTTCACAAGAGAAATATTTAAACTTAAGAGCAGAGTACAACACAATATATATGGAAATTCAATATATTTTGTATCCACAAATAAAGAAAAAATATCAGTTGACAAACAAGGAGTCATATTTTCAAATCAAGGATTTGCTAATTTCTTCTTACAAGCCAGTTGCAGTTACTGGTAATATTGTTTTTTTAAGACTAACTGAAATTAGATAATCAAAGAAAATTGCTGAATTACTTTCATGTTCAAAAATTGTCCAATAAGCACCAAAGGATTATCTGTGTAACACATCACACCTATATATAGTAATAGTTTTATGGGATTCTACAAACACTAACTTTACAATTTCAAACTAAACAAAAACTCGCATATAAATTTATAAAAATAGATATACAACACTTAATTGTACAAATTCTAAGTTCTCGTATTTCAAATGAAACTTTTACTTCTACAAGACAAGCAGATACAATTTATAAATAATATAGAATTAATAACTGGACAGCATAACAAAACTTTGGAGTACTTTTATACAGTTGAGTTTTAAAAATTAAAGAAAAACCACAAATCATAATTCACTGGTTGATAGTTATGCCATGAAAAACATTCTTAAAAATATTTTTTTTCTAAGAACAAAATATACCAGCTACAATATGAATAACTCAGCATACTATTTTTAATATAAGAATTTGTGAGATATTTGAATGTGTTTGTTTATGGTATAGTTTCATGTGAAGCACTTTCCACAACATTCACAACCAAACATTTTTCAGTATTACTGATAAATACGGACTCAAAACGATGGCTTGGAGATAAAATAAATCTGTTACAGATCTGACACTGGAAAGATATTGGGATTTTGGTGTGTCTTTCTACCCTTAATAATCTTACAAAGTTCTTGAATCCAAAGAGCAAGCCAAATTATTCTCTGAAAGAAACAAAATTCCTAAGTAAACAACAATAATTAATCATTTCAATATAAAAGTAATGAAGGAAAAAAAAAAAAGAGAGGCAAAAAATATAATCCACAAACCTTCATCTAGTACCTTAAGCTTCAATGAAAAACATATCTAGCAGAATGACAAGTAACCCATTTTATTAAAATAATTTCAATAGACTGTAAACATTTAAACTGTGAATACTTTGAAGTATTCAAAAAATGTAAAAACCTGATTTTAGATGCAAGTATTTTCAATGGACATTCAAAAAATATATCAATATTAATTTGCATCAATTGCTAACATTATTATTTTAACAAGCTGATATCTAGTCTGATAAAAAAAAAGGAAAACTTGCTCAGATTACTTTAAAAAGTGTGATAAAATCCAGCAAATGGACTATATTTGAAATTACCAACTTTCTTCATGTACTAAGCTTTATTTATGACTAACATCACCTTGACTGTCCCTCAAACACTTTAGATACTTTTGCACTAGCAAAATTCTAACAGTTATGTGCTTAGGGTGCTTTTGACAATTCAGTAATTCTGGTAAAATTTATTAATTGCCCATTGTTCTCATGAATTTTTCGAGTCACCGTTGGTTGCATTATCTTTTGTATTCAGTAAGGTTACCACCTGAATAGCTCTAGAATAAGGAATATTTTTGGTGTTTGATAATTTTCAGCATTTACATCAAATCATAACACTAAGAAACTAAGTTAAAGTAAAAATAATGAAAACCCAAGAAAAAATAAGACACAAATTGTTTTTCTGTTCTAACCTAAAAGAGAACACTGCATTTTACTACTTAATATGTAACAATTCCATAAACTATGTAACGGTATGTAACATTAACTGAATACATCATTTAAAGTGTCTTTTTATGTGTGTTTCAGGTAATTCTGATTTCAAATACCTTGGCTATCCTTCTGAGTTTAGAATATCTTTTTCAAAAACATTATTCCAATTCTCAAAAATCCAAGTACCTTAAGATTAATGACAAGCTGGTTAAGTTTAGACTATTAATGTTACTGCCTTTTATTTTTTCTATTTTTAAGTTATTTAACATTACATTAAAATGTACTTCTCTTTTCAGATTTAACAGTTGTTAAATACCAGCTTCATCAATTTTAAAATGTCAAGGTAAAGTACCAGTTTTAGCAAAATATCTAAATATTGAGCTCATCCACATTAAACCTTTCGTGGATTAAGGGGTTATCTCTTTACTCCAAACTTGAATAACAATCCCTCAACATTTGAAATTTTTCATTATTAAAATAAACTGACATCTTAATAAAATTACAACTGACATGTTGTCAACTAATAAAAATATAATGAACATTTACACTCCCTACATCAAAAACTGGGCCAAAAAACTTCTAAAACAAACTTTCTGTAGACAAAAACAATAATTTTGGAAGTTTTCACAATACAGATGTTGCCTATTACTATTCTCATAAATGAACTAAAAAAAATATAGAAACTGCAGGTATTATCTTTTACTAATTTAGAAAATTAAAGTGTGTTCCTGATGATTATAACTGCAGAAATAATGTTGCTTCTATTATCACAGAACACTTGATATTAATCAAATGTGCATTGGGTTTGTCCATTGGACTGACTCTATACTGGAGAAGGAATGCTGAGTATACTTCTAAATTTACTATATGTATCTACACAAAAGTGGCAAGCTTTCAGCAAAATACACGTCTGTTGCACACAAAAAGTGAGATGTGTTACTAAAGTATTACTTAAGATATCTACAAATTGATGACATCAGCCTGGCTCAGATACTGACAAGTTAGAGTGAAGAATAAAAATAATTTTGTTTATTGTGTAGTTTGCACATTATAGCTTAATAATGGTAGAAATACTGCAAGAAACTAGTTTGAATCTTTGATACAAAAAAAATAAAATGAATAAAGAATGATTACTGGTGTTTTGTAGTCAACAAAGATTATGTTTATTAAAGTTGAGCATATTAATTAGTATAAGAAGGTCTAATCTTACATAACAAACAAATATACAATGACTGAACACAATTTGATATTACCATCTAAATCACTATTCTAAAATTTCTTATCATAAATACATAAGTTATTAATAACTTCATAAAAACTTGGACAAGTATTTTTAAGAGCAACCATCTTAACTTTCTTTAATATTAAAAAAACTCATGTCAGTATTTAAGGTAATGTGAGACATAATACTAATTTGGAAAACAACTACGAACAGTTTTCCAAAAATTCCTTGTGCACTTAGATTGTTTGTTTTGAACATTCATGCAAAGCTACACAAAGGCATTCTGCACTAATTGTCCCTAATTTTTAACTGATAAACTAGAATAAAGGTGGCCAGTCAACAACACCCACCATCAGCCCTTGAGCTACCCTTAAGTAGGATTTGACCATCATATATATATATATGACACGTCAATGGTTCAAAAACATGGTTCACATTATGGACTTGTTTTGAAAACAATGGCAATGAGATTCAAACTAATTCTTATGGTAGTTCTATTATAAAAACATTTTACAACACAAATAATTTTAGTAAGCCTAAAATTAAAATATAACACATTTTAAGATTTAAAACATATCTCAGCTTGAAAACTTAGCATAAAAAAGAAGTAACAACTTTTGCACATCCTCTCTATGATCAGTTCTGTGTAACCTGTGATGATGAAATGTTGATAAAACTATCACATATATCATCTCATTTCTATTTATTTCTGATTTCTCCCTTTCTTTTTTTTTTGAAACTTCACATAAATACTTATTACACAAAACCAATAATTGTCTTAAAATAGTTCTTATATACTTTGTCATTAATTTGGAAAAAAAAATTCTTTACTTTAAATTCACAACTGTTTGGAACTTTCATTATTGAAAAGAGCACTTGCACATAACCATGCATTTCAGAAAATTGCTTATAAAGTATTTTTAATATTCATTCTAAACATTACACTTAATCATATGCAAAGTACAATAACAGCAAAAACAAATACAGAAAATTACTCATACAAAGAAGGAGTTAACAGGACAAAGTACTTTAAATTTAATGATGAGTAACCCATTTATATATTGGAAACCAGATTCACCAAACATAATAATAAACTCTCCTATGTTTACCACCATTGTAGTTCACAAAACCAGAGTATATCTATACAAAACACTGTGATTTTGAACAAAGAACCAAACATCAATAAATGCTGAATAGAAGCTATCTTAAATGAACAAAACAGCCACACCCTAAACCAACACCTTGGGGTACCAAGATACCTATACTAACTAGGCTGTGAAGCAATCTCTGGTCACATGATCCCTTTGTTATACTGTACATACATTCATGTGTCTCTGTAAACTATTTGTACCTGAGGATGAGATAATCTTGTTGAAAAGTCATACATTTATAATAAAGTTTTCTTCATTGCCCAGTCAAGCCATCTCTAAACTTTTAATGTACTTACAATTTTTAATTGACACTATCTAATAAACTAAAAGAACTAAAATATTCTTGACACCCAAATTGCATATGTAAAATATTAAATTCACAACACCCCTAAAAACAGAACTGCACACATACACAGTTCTCACAGGGTTTAAATAAAAGACAAAGTTTGCTATCAGAATTAATATTTGACCTTTTGGTAAAAAAAATACTTTTATTGGTAAAAATTATACACACACACACACATGTACCTCAAGGGAGTATTTTGAAGTTAAAACATAGTTCTCAGTTCTGGCTTGAAATGCAAAACAATTTTTCTAAACAAAATTAACAACACATGTATTATCCAAAAACACATACTTCGAAAAAAAGGTACGAGTCTAAAGATAATTATCAAGCAAAATGCTGTAATCCATAAGTTGGTTAATCAGCAAGTATTTTTGAAATTAAACAATTTGTAATCATTCAAAAAGAAAGTTGATAATATTGTTACTGCTGTGAAAATTAAACATTTGAACATGTTAATTTTAACACTTGGAAAAATGTGTAGTCTCAAAATACTGTTGATCTTCTCAGTTTTATTTTGTGTTTTAAAGCAAAAAATATTTTATTAACACATTTTAGCATATAATTAAATATCAATCTAAAATAAAATAGTTTAGCTTTTTCCTTGAGTTTCAAATGCATGATTTTTTCATGCACTTAAAAAGTGCTAAGTAATTTTCAATAAAATCATTTGATCAAAGGAAACATATCAAGCACAAAAAAATTCCTGAAATAATATATACAAAATATCTGAATTAGAAAAAAGGCCTGATAATTAACACTGAAATGCAACAAAATCAACATGTAAATAAACAGAATACCTGTGTAAGCTGACTTGTTTGGATACAGTCACAAACACATGATTTACTGTAAGCCACAGTTTGCATATTATTATGCATGATGATCTCTGATATGCTTTAGTCGTTGTGACCTCCAACGAAAAGTGGCATTGCAGTATTCACATAATAAAGTATCGGCAGAGTGAAGATTCTGATGCTGTTTCAACAGTCGTTTTTCTTTAAACTTTTTTGGACAGTAACTGCAGGAGAAACTTGATCTACCACCAACTAACATCAAAGTGGTGGACCCACTTCTACCAAATACAACCTCCTCTAGCTCTTGTTCTTCCTGCTGATTTTTCACTGAAACAAGAACAGCATGTCATGAAAAAATATATTAAAACAATACAAAAGCTTTGCCAACTAAAACTGAAGCAAAATAACTGAACAAGTGATTTGTTTATAGTTAAGCACAAAGCTACACAATGGGCTATCTGTGCTCTGCCTACCACGGGTATTGAAACCCAGTTTGAACAAATGATACAAAACAAAATTCAGTGTTTCATGTATTTGTATTTTTACATCACACAACTATGGAAATGAACTTGTACTGAGTAAAAATATAACAATACAGACAGTCATAACAAAGTTACAAAACTATGACAAGCTTACATAAGAAAGCAATATACTTGCAGTATTCTACAATGTGATAAAATTATTATTTTTACGTTATTTGAGATTTTATGTATCTAAATGAAAGTTAGAAAAAAGGATAACAATTTATATATTCTGTTCTTCACACAAATCTTTCTTATCCTAAATGGTTCAAGAATAAATTTACTTGTAAATATTAATGCCTGATTGAAGCAAAAGTAAAAATCAAATCAGGACTGAAGCAAGAAGAATTGTCTTATATGAAAACAACATAGGACCTTCCATGTTCCATAAAACCCACACATGTATACACATTTGTTCCATCAAGATTTTTATGGGTAATAATTATAAATTATTTAACAACCATAACACACAAGTTAAAATCCATAATACATACAATCCATGGTATGTCTAGTGAAATTTAATAGATTGTAAAATTCCACATACATTTTAAACAATTATCAAGCAATAATAACCCAAAAAGTAGCACTGAAAGTATCTCTTCTTGTTTAATTATATCAAAAATCATTTTGTTTTTTCTGTTTAACTGTATGACCAAAAAATTTGTTGCATGCAACTCCTCATTCAGCTGCATGAAAAAATGTTTTCATACACTACTATATCATTCTAACCAACAACATAAACATAATGTTAAATTTTCTTCTTCTTTCACACAAAAATTCAGTCTTTTATTTTCTCTGAAGGTATAAATCTAATAAATGATTGATCTCATTCGTTCTTTTAGCTGACTGTATTAACACTAAAATCAAATAAGAAAGCACATTTTATTACTTAACATTTCTGTGATATTCAGCTCAGCTTTGTCACTTTAGGCAACAGAATAAAAATTTCCAGCAATATGCGATCCAGTAATGTAAGTTGTCAGTTAGTTAAATAACAGGAAACTATGACCTGAATTTGCCTATCTTTTTAAATATAAGAGCTTCATACAACAACAAAAGGTTTATATCTAATGACAGTTGTGTCTACTTGTATCCCTCTCTATTAGGTAAACAAAAACCTCTTTTAAGATACTATGAACTTCTTTGTCAGTTATATTAGATCTGACTAAACAAGAGTAGCCTAAAAGAAAATTTTATTTATTACTGTATTGGCCCAATTATAGGGCAATCTTGAATATAAGGCAACCCCCATTTTCAGAAACCATGGGAAAGAAAAAAAAAAAAACTAGAGAGTTATAACATCCTTTTTAGGTCTGCAAAATCAATACTATAACTGAATAGGCTGCAGGTAGATTAGTTTCAAGAATTAGGGATGACCTTTAGGGAATATCTGGCTCGCATGCATAGACAGATACTATCTGGACATTCAGGAATGCGATAGGCTAGCACAGGGGGAAGAGACCTGTGTTCCGCCACAATTATAAGATGATTATGAATTTCACAGCCTAATTATTAATAAAAAAACATCACTTTATAATCGGCCAATACAGTATATAAAATATACCATAGTTTATCATCTAAGCTTAATTTCTATCAATGCAAACAAAATTTCTGCTTAACCCTATCATTATGGATATCCTTTACTGTGCATGACACAAGGTTTTAGTGTCTTAAATTCTAAATTTTATTAAACTACTTTATGTTTATGTTATACCAATTAGAATAGCATAAAATTTTAGCTAACAATCCATATTTTAAATGTCAATTTCACTCAGAGTATCAACATTATTCCTGTGAGAAAGTTAACGACTAGCTTCAATGAACCTGTCACAGCTCTTGTCACATAGTTAGAAAGCCAGAAAAGTATTGAGAGGTTAGGGAATTTGTTTACTTTTTGCATGTTATTAGTCTATGTTATTTGGTGCATTATTTAATTAAATAAAAATTATTAAGTGTATTACAACTATTAATATAAAAACATTAGGGTTAACTCTCTTCGACAATCGACAGCAAGAAAAAAGAAGATTGGTAAAATATTTTATGTTTATTCTTTATGTATCATTATAAAAGTAACTAAAAGGTAAAAACAGGGATCCTTTTAGGTTTGTTAAGATTAGATTAGGTAAAATAAATAATATTATTATTCTAATAAAAATGTTTCATGAGTCACATATGCGAGCAACTCATGGGTAATGTAATTCATTAGCATTACATGAGCTGCATGTTCTCCAAGTGATTTACAACTTATAATGTCATGGACAGTAGTTAAACACAGTTCAAAGGGCAATAAAATAAAAAAATGTAATTATAAATAGATGTATACTGCTATGAACTTAGAGCTACTTAGGATAAATGAATGTAGTTTCATGTTACAGTTTGAAGTCATTCTGTTTTGATATAGGGTAGAGAAAATAACAAATAAACTATAAAGTTTTACTGTAAAAAAAAACGTTTGAAATGCATTTAGGATGTTTTAGGGATTACATAAAGGAAATTTGAGATTTTTGAAATGAGGAAAAGTATTTTTAACTTTGGCATGAAAATTACTTTGCACACGAACTATTAAAAACAAATACTCAATATATTCATGGACAACTCTATTTTATTTTATTAAAAATACTTCACTAAAAATATGATTTTTTTTGTATGTGAAAGACTTATAATATTAACTGAAAGGCTGCCAAATTTTGTGAAGAATACATACTATATTGAAAGTTAGAAGTATTCAATGTATACACTTTAAAGAAGTACAAAGAGGTCACATGGTTGATCAAATTGATCAAGCCCTTGTTGAGAGAGTTAAAAATGTCAAATCTTTCTTTGAAATGGGATAAGCTAACAAAATTTAAGCAAAATTAGATTAAGTGATAAATAGAGAAATACGTAATGTTTGTGCTTGTGATGAGATCATTACAATTCTTTAGATTTTGTAACACTAGGCCTAAATATAAAAAACATACACATATACGGAAAACCTACTGGAATGAAACCTTCAGTAATGATGTGCACCTTACCTTTTACACCAACAACTCAATACAAATATCACAATGATAACTTCTTACTAAGTATTATCAATTTCCAAAGTAACAAAATTACACGTCCAACTGAAAACTATATTATTAAATGCATTGTACACTGATAAGGTGAAGCAAAAACAAACATAACTAACAGGAAAATCTGCTCACAGCAATCAATGTCAAGAATTTCACATACACTTCTTCCACTCTACTGGACACAACATCAACAAAAGAAAGAGAGAGAGAGAGCAAATTTTCAATACTTTCAACACAAAGTAACTACAACTGAAAATAAATTCCTTTCCAACAGTGCAATGAATTATTTACAATATTTGACTACCATTTTCCAAAGTTTATGTACTAAAAAAGTGCAGTCATACAAGACTTTTGGCTTTATTTGAAATATAAAAACAATACTAATATATATCATAATAATTAAATAAACTAAAAAAGTGGTTCACTCTAGCTTCTAGTGTGGAACATATCTAATTAACAACTAACTTCTTCATTCTTTTACAAGAGAAAAATGTTTCTTCATATCATAAAATTTCTCTCTCATTATACTTAAAAAATTTCCCATTTCTTTCCAACAGCTTATATCTCGAAACATAATCACTGAGTGATCAAATATAAACACAGCATAAAATACAATTTTAGGAAAAATAAATTCATTATTAGGCAATAAACATAAATTTTGGAAGGTTACATTATTATTTTTGCTTTCACCTGGCACACTCCTAACATTGGTATATTTAGTGAATACACACAAGCTGAAGAGTTTCATTTCATAAAAAAAAGCATTCTGACATAATGTTTGTTTTGTTTTTGTTTTTTGAATTTCGCACCAAGCTACACGAGGACTATCTATGCTAGCCGTCCCTAATTTAACAGTGTAAGACTAGAGGGAAGGCAGCTAGTCATCACCACCCACCACCAACTCTTGGGCTACTCTTTTACCAACGAATTGTGGGATTGACTGTCACGTTATAATGCCCCCACAGCTGAAAGGGCGAGCATGTTTGGTGTAACGGTGTAACCCACGACCCTCAGATTGCGAGTCGAGCACCCTAACCACCTGACCATGCTGGGCCTTGACATAATGAAGACAAATTTCCAGTTGATCCACATGACAACAAACAAACAACATTCCGAGCATACTAGTTGAAAACCTACTATTATAAGCTAAGTCATGAGGAAGTTAACTATCGACACGGCAAGGATTACTACCTCAGTGTGTGCAAGTCAAGAACCTGAACAATTTCACTATGTTTCTTAAACGTTACTAAACAATGCAGTGGTTCACAGCATAGCCTATGGTAATGTGTACGACTACTTTGTATTCTACACAGGTAGAAACTACAACCACCTAATGCCCACTTTTACCATCTTGGCATGAAAAGACCAAAAGTAAATACTCCTCATGCTGAGAAAACAGTATTAGCTATTTCCAAGTACAGAAAAAAAAAGAACTTTGCTCTATCAGTAAATTTTATTTTAACATACAAGTAAAAGTCACATTATCTGAAGTACAGTTTTTAATAACTTTTCATTTAATTGTTTTGTTTATTTATAGCTGAAGCCAACAGTATTTTATGTTGACAAATTCAGATTGATATGAAATTGTAAGAGAAAAATAATAAATTGAACAATATAACAATATTTTTAATACAAATACAAGTGTATCTGGATGTATAGAGAAGTTATTGTATACCATATTTTGTTTACACATGTAAACAAGTACACTAAAAACACGGATTAACCAAAATGTTGCAAAAGTGCATTAGCAATT